CTATTTAATGCCGGCTGCTGCTTAGGTGCTGGTCCAGATTGCTATCCTTTCTCTCCTTGACTACTGCTATCCACATCTCAGTGGTCTTATGTGTTTCCAACTTGCTCTGTTACAGTATATAATGAAAGCAGCGGCAAGGCTCATCCTGCTGTCCGCCTGCTCCTCCCATGTCTCCCCTCTTTGTCAAGCTCTACATTGACTTCCCATAAGATACTGGGCTTACTTTAAAATTCTGGTACTTGCTTAAGAATGTCAATAGAATGCTGCTCCTACCTATCCTCCCTAATACACAAGTGTGTCCCGTGTAGACCCCTACGCTCTGATGAAGACCTGCCTCTATCCTCCGTTCATTCTCTCACCTTTGATGCTCACCTTCAATACTTTTCTAGGGCTGCGACGTTCCTATGGAACTGATGTCCCTGCTCCATTAGTTTCTCACCCAATCTCCATTCCTTCAAAAAATCATTTTTCCTTAAACAAGACTCTACTAAAAAACGTAATCATGCCCTTGTAATTTCTTGCATTGATTACTGTAATTCTCTCCCCAGAAACTGTACTGCCTCCTACAGTTCATAAATAATGCTGCTGCCAGGCTGATTTTTCTCTCTTGTCACTCCTCTCACACCTTGCCCCTCTGTCAATACCTTACATTGACTTCCTGTATCCTTCAGGAATCAATTCAAACTACCAACCCTTAGCTATAAAACTCTAAGTTATTCTACCCCCATTACATTTCTAATTCATAGGTAACCTTCTTCTGCTACTCCATTTCACCCAGTTATTACTCTTACTGCAAACCCACTGTATCTCTTGCTGTCTTTTAAAAGGTTACCCTCAACCCTCACTTTCCAGTTATGCTGCTTTTCCATCTTGTTGCTCCACCTCTTTTAGACTATAAGCTTTTTCGAGCAGCGTCCTCATCAACCTTTTGTTCCTGTAACATTTTGTAATTGTCTCATCTATTGTTGTATTTAACCATTAATAGTATTCGAAAACACTGCAGAATATGCTGGTGCTATATAAATGATGAAGATAATAATGATAATAATTAAAATCCTCTTACCACCAGGGACATGTTGAGCTGTACAGACTTCTCATGGTGGGCTCTGCTCAGCATCAACACTGAAGTACTGGTTCACAGCTACATTGTCAGAGATAAATGGAGCAGATATATGATGTGTGTCATGTCCCCGCCCTACACAAGCCTGCAGTTTGTGGAGGGTTGAAGCTGGTCACCTGGCAGAGAGTCTTGTGCCCTCAGTCCATGATCAAGGGACATAGTTTTCAGTTGGCCCCTAGCACTGTGGGAGTCTGCCTCTACCTGTGTTAGCTGAACATATCCATCACTGCTCCTTTGTCTTTCTTTGGCCATTCCATCCAGCTGTGTCCCTTCATATCCACTCCTCTATCCCTGCTCCTTCTCTATTCTATCATCTAGTAGTTCCCTTGTTTGGCGACATTCCACCCACACATGTCCCAATGTCCTATTTCATCTGCATACCTTAAAGGCAAGGGAAGGGGCATTATTTCTGGTAGTCCAGCAGAGGAAAGGAACAATAAGATCATTGCAGAGACAGATGGGTGAGTAGTACCCTCATTTAACCCCAGTTTATAAAAGTGTTGATTTATATGAGAAATCAGCCCTTTTTATAAATTAACCAGGGATTCCCCCCGCCTCTCGGCTGTCAATCAAACAGCCAGGGAGGATTCCTTCCTACTTCATTTAGCTCCCCTGAGCTAACGGAAGTGGCAAGCACGCTCTACTTGATGTGCCTCTGATTGTTTATTTAACTGTGAAGAAACTTAAAGGGGAGTGCTTACAAAGGCTGCAGTCATAAGAGCTCTTTTAGACTATACTCCCAATGAATACGTACGTGAAAATATGCATGCATGTATGCATTGGGGATATATCTACAAAACTGTGAGGTTTCTGTGGGGGGATATGGAAGTGTGGAGTTGTGCTTTAAGTCCTACAGTAAGGAAACAGAGGCTAATGCCAGTCATTGATTATGTGGATGTAGTGTATGCACCTGCACCGCAAACCGACTGTCATAAACTTAATGCATTGTATAATTCGTTCTGACGCTTTGTGCTATAATGTAATTACATCACCCACCATTTTGACATGTTAAAAGAACTAAACTGGCTGTTGGTGGAATCCCAATGCACTCTTCATCTTTCAAGCCTTGTGCATAACAGCTTTTCTGGGAAGCTCCCATCTCATCTGAAGAGAATGCTCTTCCCATCTGTTCCTACCTGCTATAACATCCGATCCAGTGCCAGCACTTTATTTAGCATATCGCAAGACAAAAAGAAAGTAGCTCAATCCTCATTTTCCTACAGAGCACAGCAATGTAATGAATAACGTCAGTGACACAGTCAAATCTTCATTCAATCTAAAATCTTTTAAGAGAACTATGGCAACATACCTCAGCACAGAATGTATCTGTCATGGTTGAATATATTTCTTACCTGTTATTAGATTTATATATGTGTGTATGTATATGTATATGTATATATATATATATATACACACACACACATATATATATACATATATATTGTATATTGTATTATTTTTTATTATTATATTGTACCATATAACAATGCAGTGTTTGTGGGCCCAGGACATACTTGAAAATGAAAGAAATCTCATTGTATCCTTCTTGTTAAAATATCTATCTATCTATCTATCTATCTATCTATCTCCAGAATACGTTTTTTGTCTAGGTCCCACTCCTTTCCTGTCCCACGCAGGGTCATTTACTAAAGTGGGAGTTTAAGGCGAGTTTTAAGGCCGAAATGGAAGCATGACTTAGATGATGCCTAAGTTGACTTAGATGATGTCTCCAGTTTGGCTATATTTCCCTGGCATTTAAAATTTACTTGGAATTCTTACTTTAGTGTCAGTGTTATTCACTAGAAATTTTGGGATAAGTTAGTAGGGATTTTTTTTCTAAATTAAATGTTTCTGTCTATACTTATATATTTTTTCCACAATTTCCAGTTTAGTGAATACACTATTTATGCATTTAATAAAAAAAAGAATAGTTTAACAAAACAGTGAGCACCAATAAGCACATAAGCGCATGTGATAGGTTTGGCCTCATATTCGTGCTGTATTTTTTCCTACCTTTTGCTGATGAGTTTGTAGGCAATTTGTAGACAACTAATAGAAGAACACTGCATTGTTGACATAGGCGTGCGCACGGGGTGTGCCGGGTGTGCCTGGGCACACCCTAATCCCCGCGGCACGCCTATGTATATTGAGACCGGCAGGGGAGATCTCAGGATCTCCCCTGTCGGCTCATGCAGAGCCGGCGCTATCTGAGCGCCGGCTCTGCTCTCAGCCTCCCTCCCCACTGACCCACAGGCAGGGTTCCTCTCGCGAGATATGAGCGTTGCCACGGCAACGCTCAAATCTCGCGAGAGTGAACTCTAGCCCCACAGGGGTTAGAGTTCACTCTCCACTGGACCACCAGGGATCACAGCAGCAAGGATCCCCTCCTCCACTGGACCACCAGGGAAGGATAGCAAGTAATGTACCCCCACCTCCACCCCCCACAATCACCCACCCACACACATACAACACACATTCAGCACCCACACACATTCAGCACCCACAGACATACACAGCACCCACAGACATACACAGCACCCACACACATACAGCACCCACACAGCACCGACATACACAGCCCCCACAGACATACACAGCCCCACAGACACACAGCACCCACAGACACACAGCACCCACAGACATACACAGCACCCACAGACCTACACAGCACCCACAGACCTACACAGCACCCACAGACCTACACAGCACCCACATACATTCAGCACCCACATACATTCAGCACCCACAGACGTGCAGCACCCACAGACATACACAGCACCCACACACATACAGCACCCACACAGCACCCACAGACATACACAGCCCCCACAGACATACAGCACCCACAGACACACAGCACCCACAGACGCACAGCCCCACAGACAGCCACAGCACCCACAGACATACACAGCCCACAGACATACAGCACCCACAGACATACACAGAACCCACAGACATACACAAGAACCCACAGACATACAGCACCCACAGACACACAGCACCCACAGACATCCCACAGCACCCACAGACATACACAGAACCCACAGACCTACACAGCACCCACAGACACACAGCACCCACAGACCTACACAGCACCCACGCCCATTCAGCACCCACACATTCAGCACCCACAGACGCTTTAGCACCCACAAACACACAGCACCCACACACATACAGCACCCACAGACACACACAGCACCCACAGACATACACAGCACCCACAAACATACAAAGCACCCACACACATACAGCACCCACAGACACACACAGCACCCACAGACATACACAGCACCCACAGACATACACAGCACCAACACACATACAGCACCCACACACACACACATACAGCACCCTCACAAACACGCACAGCACCCTCACACACAGCACCCAAACAGCACCCTCACACACACACAGCACACTAACAGTACCCTCACAAACAGGACCCTAACAAACACACACACAGCACACTACCAGTACCCTCACACACAAACAGCACCCTCACACACAGTACATTAACAGCACCCCCACAAGCGCACACACACACACAAACAGCACCCTCACACACAGTACATTAACAGCATCCTCACAAGCACGCACACACAAACACCCTCACCCACATAGCACACTACCAGCATCGTCACACACACATCACACTAACAGCACCCTCACACAGCACACACACACACACACAGCAGTGTGTATATATGTGTATATATATATATATATATATATACGGCGTGTGCTTGTGCTTTAGGGTGCACACCCTAATGCAATAGGCTGCGCACGCCTATGATTGTTGAATTATCAATACAATGATAGTGATAAGACACTAAATTCAAGCGGACTAAAAGAAACTCTGGGTAAGCTTTTGATCTTCCTGGTTGGGGAAAAAATACATAGATCTTTATTTCAAAATCAAAGAATAACATTTAACATAAACTATTACTTATATAAACAAATTACTTAATTCTCTATATGAGTCTAGTTTAAACACAAGACAAATACATATGATTTTTAGTGATTGGTTCCCTTTAACCGCAAAAATGCTTACAATCTTAACATTTCTTGTTAAAATGATAACTTATCCACTCCACATAAGGTTGTTCAACAAATGGGATCACTGATAGAATAGCATAATCTTTGTATCATGTATTTGGCAGCTTCTGATCTCTCTGTCACACACCAGACCCATAATTGCATTTGCTGGATCCCATCCTTTATATCTTTCCACTGATATGTGGGGCAATTTAGACAACTTTTAGTCCTTTTGGTTTCCTTTTTTGGGACTTGTCTTGTGAAAGGGTTAAGGTGCCAGCCTGGAGACATCTGCATTGCTGCATAGAAAACTGGTAGGAGTTAAAAGGACAGCACACAGAGAACATAATCAAACACATTGTAGCAGATTGTGGGTTCTCTCTAGACTGCTGGACACTATGATGAATAGGAATGTTAGGTGATGGTAATCTGACCAAAATGAGCAGTCGAATGGTTATGATGTACAATACTTGACTGTGGCCCTCCAGATCTCTACTAGGCAGACAGGGTGCAGTCCTTTGTCCTGTCATTTGTTGGATAAGGTGCCAAACTATTCTTAGGCTATGTATTTTCTCCTTCATTCATACACGGAGAGCACCACAAGTTGAAGCTTACAAGAAATATGAATCTACACGTGCACAGCTTTGAAAGTGTATTTGTTATATATTCTCTGTTGGTGATTTTGTGTTTCTTTTGTCGTCACAGCAGCGGTTTTTGGGTCTTTATCAGCCTAACAGAGATTATGATGAACCTGGAAGCTTGTATTCTTTGTCCCATGGAAGAAACAACACTTGGGATGTGTTAATGGGAGTATGTGGTCAAGAGGAGCAATCTAGTTGGCGATGGTATTTTTTAAAGGGACCCTCTGAGCACCAGAATCACTACAGCTTAATGTCGTAGTTCTACAGTAAAAATGTTTTCCCCTGCAGTATAAACACTGCCTTTTCTGGTTGTGGTTCCTAATTGCAGGACCATTGTTCAGCGCCGAACAATCCTCATAGAGATACATAGAGTCAATGCATCTTTATGAAAGGGACACTATAGTCACCAGACCAACTACAGCTTATTGCATTTTTTCTGGTGAGTATAATTATTCCCTTCAGACTTTTTGCAGTAAACACTGTCTTTTCAGAGAAAATGCAGTATTTACATTATAGCCTAGTGATAACTCCACTGGCCACTCCTGTGGATGGCTGCTAAAGCTGCTTCCTTGGGCAGTGGTGCAGAGTAAGCAGCACTGCCATTCAGTGTCTCCACCCTCTGTATGCAGACACTGAACTTTCCTCATAAAGATGCATTGATTCAATTCATCTCTATGAGGAGATGCTGATTGGCCAGGGCTGTGTTTGACTTGTGCTGTATCTGCCCCTGATCTGCCTCCTTTACAGTCTCAGCCAATCCTATGGGGAAGCACTGTGACTGGTTCAGATAACCACTACTGATGATGTCAGCAGACAGAGGCAGGTCTGAGGCAGACAGGGGAAAAGCCAGGAGCTGCAGACTTGAATTCAAGTAAGATTTTACTATATTTAGGGAGGCAAGGGGGGCTAGATGGTGGTTTTAACACTATAGGGTCAGGAATACATGTTTGTGTTCCTGACCCTATAGTGCTCCTTCAAGATAAGCTGATTAGAGCAGAGTGGCCATTATCGAACATGCATATTAGCGCCCCAATATTTGCCTATGGGGTAGCATTGTTTTGACTGAAATCGTCTGTAACCAGAGATAATCTCAATTGGGGAGGAGAGGTTGCTGCAGTGAGCCAGGGTGCCAGGGGACTAAATATAGGTTAATCTCATTATTTTCTTCTTCTAGCATTAGGAATGCATGCTTGTATCCCTAAAATTAGGATGCTTCTGAGAGTTTCATTATTTTGTGAGTGACTAAATCGCAGTAGGAAGGTGGGAATTCAGGGCTAGGAAAGTCATAGATATTGGAAGTACAGTTTCTGAGAGAACTTTTATGCCCTAAGAATGGTTGCTAAAACCATTAAAATAAAAAAATTCTGCAATCAAAATTGTCATCACAAATCCTAACCCTGAGTGCAACTCACATATGCTTGGCATAGCTTTGTCTGTGATCAGCTGGAGCACACACTGCTTGCCAAATTATTCACATTATTTCTAAGGTTAATCAGTTTGTACCCAAAAGTCTTGACTAAGAAGAGAGTACATTATTATGATACAGCTTATGGTGAAGTCATGTAGAATTCAGCTGGGGAGTGCAGTTGTAAATAGTTTATATTTATCTCAGATAATGGTAGAGCTATATTGCATGTCTATTAGTTGCCATGTTGTGCGAAATTTAACCATGGAATTAACTTACAATGAACTCCAGCCAAGTGATGGTGGGCCTTAACTGGTCTTTTTTAAATATTACTTAACCCCTTAAGACCGCAGCTAAATGTACAAGTTGTAATCAAAACAAAACGTATGGAACATAATTTAATATGAATAAAATATAAAAAAAGGGAGAAAAAAAGATTTTTCAAAATGTTCTTAGTTCTACGTGACATTTTAACTGTGAATGTCAAAATACTGTTTGCTTTTACTGCAATAAAATACACATATTTGTATTCAGCGATATCTCACGTGTAAAACAGTACCCCCTACGTACAGTTTTTTTGGTGTTTTGGGAAGTTACAGGGTCAAATATAGCGTGTTACATTTTTCGTTTTTTTCACATTGAAATTCACCAGATTGGTTACGTTGCCTTTGAGATCATATGGTAGCTCAGGAATAAGAATTACCCCCATGATGGCATACCATTTGCAAAAGTAGACAACCCAAGGTATTGCAAATGGGGTAAGTCCAGTCTTTTTTAGTAGCCGCTTGGTCACAAACACTGGGCAAAGTTAGTGTTAATATTTGAAAATGCAAAAAACTAATTTGAACGCCAATTTTGGCCAGTGTTTGTGACGAAGTGGCTACTAAAAAAGACTGAACATACCCCATTTGCAATACCCTGGGTTGTCTACTATTGCAAATGGTATGCCATCATGGGGATAATTCTCATTCCTTAATGAAAATTATATATATATTTAATCAATATCATTGTATGTGTATTTTGATTATATATATATATATATATATATATATATATATATATATATATACACACATATAATTATGTGTATATTAATATTAAAATACACGTAGACAGTGTATGTGTATGAGTGTATATGTGTATATATATATATTTATATATACATATATATATATATATATACTTAGATCACATATATAATAAATATATATATGATCTAAGTATAATTTAATTTTCAACTATTTTAAACTGTTTTATTTTTTTCAGACAGCAGGGGGAGCACTCACCCTGCTGGCAATTCCTTGGATGGCTATGCCGTCCATGTGATCGCGAGGTCCTCGCAAAGACCTCACGATCACATGGCCCAGGGGGGCCGAAGAGGGACTCCCTGAGCTCCCAGGTGAGTCTCCATTCTGCGATCACCGGCGTGAGATCGCTGGCGACCGGGTAAGTACATAAGATCGCAGGACATTCTATGCCGTCCTGCGGCTTTTAGAGCCATCTAAATAAGGACGGCATAGAACGCCCTGCGGTCTTAAGGGGTTAAAACACTCTTGCATAAATTATTAGATTTGACACATTCGTTCTAATAAAATTGTATATTTTTTGTATTATTCTCATTTCAAAGGACCCAGCACTAACTCACACAGTCCCGAGAATGCCCCACCATATTTACAGCACTGATGAAAGTGTAACTGCTATTAAAGTTACTCCACACAAAAGCAGAGACACAATTAACTGTTGTCCATTGCAGCAGTGTCGAGACTCTCTTTCTTCCACAGAAAGCAAAGTCACTGAGGAGAAATCATTATTATCAAGCTCATCATTCATATTTGCATTTGCTTCTACAGTCCACCTTAAAACATTAACTTTCATCTCCATGTCTGTGATCATCTGATCCACTTTTAGAATTTCATCCTCCAGTTCTTTGTGTTCCCGGTTTGCTTTGTTAGTTGGGGAATCACTGTAGGTGATGTTCTGGACGCTTAGAGCCCTAGCGGCAATGGCAGAAGTACTGCCTGCAAGTAAAGAAAGTAAAAAAAGTAGTTCATGTTAGATTAAATAAACCATTCAATGTAACAAGTTAACAGCATTTATTTTATACAACTTTGTCATTTAGTAACAAATTATTTTCCTCCCAAGGAAAGTAGTAAGTTTCAAATAAGACATGTTTCTTTGGAGGTACTTACCCAACCATTCATCTCCAGTGACCTAAAATACAAGGGCCAACAGTAATATTAATAGGCTTTGAACTATTCTGTGCTACCTGGTAAATCTGGCCAGATTTACATGTCGGGTGCTTGAACTGCCAGACGCTATCTAATTCCAATAAAAATTCAGTTCTACTTCCCAACTCAAATAATAAAAATGCAACTGCGACATAGCAACATTTAAAATTGTATAAAATAAAACATCTAATAATGGCCCTATCGCTATTGCTGAGATAAAGAATCTTAAAGCTCTCAGCCAATCTAATGCTTTCCCATATGACAGCATTGGGAGGCTAGTGCGCAAAATACATCTCTGTGGGGAGAGTTCAGCGTCTCCATGCAGAGCATGGAGACACTGAATGTAGGTACTGCACACAATACAGCACTGAGATAGGAAGCACCTCTTGTAACCGTCTGAGTGACTGGAACCAGAGGTAGAAAAGAATCTGAAGTAAAAAGTAAAACAACAAAAATTATCAATCAAAAAAAGCACCTATTACAAAATAAAAACTATGAAAAAGCACAAAAAATGAACTAATATTCCAATCTGTATATATAAACCTATATCAACGGTTTAATTGTCTACAACAAATGGGATGATGTACTAAGTGGTTGATTCACATATAGTACTATAACAGGGATTGTCATTAGGCAACTGTAACGGAGCTCCCTGTACCCCTGGCTGGGTACCTCCGCCAAGGACCACTTCAGGAGACAAACCGCAGCACTTCTGCCCACAGTCACCGTGGCTTGACTGTGGTCCTGGAACTGCTCCCTCCTTGAGCCGAAAGGACACCCCCATGCACTGGATGGCACTCAGTCCTGGGTGCTCTAGTCCTTACAAGTAAATGTTACCCTAGTTGCTACAGTTCATCATAAACTGTAGCTTGGGGAAGAGATTGCTGCAAAATTTACAATCCACTGAGTGGATACAGTTTACTTGTGTGGCAATTCCATGACTAGATTGTTACTAAGTTTCCATTGAGACTGACTATTCATATTAATACTGTTTTGGATTGGTACTCTTACCCAGCTAATTGTGTATTGTATGAAATTCTTATATCATTCATTGTTATTTGTTATTTTGCTTTTCAATATACCTATTTTATTGTTCATATAGGAACCATTTTTTTTGGTGCGAATAAATTCCCTTTGTGGAATATTAGTTCACATTTTATGCTCTTTTTTAAACTTTTTTTATTTTTTGGAATATGTTTTTTTTTTTAATTTTTATTCAAATTTTGTTTCTTTTTAATATATCAAAATATCAGCTTTGTTTTCTTTTAAAAGTAGTATATAGTGACTCAGTTAACCACTCTGTATAGATCGATATTTAGGTGATACTTCCCATCTGATCAATTAATTTAAGAGTGTAATTATTTTGTCTCTCTGCATATGTTCTATTTGATTTTCATTGTCACTATAGGTGTTACTAAACAGCAATGCAAACACTGTCTTTTCTCTGAAAAAACACTGAAAAGAGTGACAGGCTATAGAAACAAAACTTACATTACATGGCACGTCCCCACCCAAACTTGTGACACGGACATGTATACAAAATAGTCCCTGCACCAGGTGGAATAAGGAAAAACAAAAAAATATAACTTAGGGAAACACTGAATGCTTTTCTGCTTTTTTTAATTGCTATTATGTTGAGGGACTTTTTTTTCTATATATGTCCATGTCACACATTCGGGTCTGGACGTGCTATGTAAAGTAAGTATTTTTTTTGTTTTTTTTTTATAAACGTACATAGCAAGGATATGCTTCTTATCAATTCCTTTATAAGTCTTCAGAGTGCGGTGTATTGTTATCAGTTACAATATAATTACAATGTATTTTCCATATATCACCCTGTGCTGGGGCAGTGGCTTATTTTCTATTAAAGGACCACTATAGTGCCAGGAAAACATACTCGTTTTCCTGGCACTATAGTGCCCTGAGGGTGCCCCCACCCTCAGGGTCCCCCTCCCGCCCGGCTCTGGAAAGGGAAAAGGGGTTAAAACTTACCTTTTTCCAGCGCTGGGCGGAGAGCTCTCCTCCTCCGATTCACTCGCCGGCTGAATACATCACAAGCAAGAGCGCGCATTTCGTCACATAGGAAAGCATTCTCAATGCTTCTATGGACGGAGGCGGTTCTCACTGTGAAAATCACAGTGAGAAGCATCGCAGCGTTCTAGTGGCTGTCAATGAGACAGCCTACCAGAGGGAATGGGGAAGGCTTAAAAGGATGAGCACCCAGACCACTTCAGCTTTAAAAGTGGTCTGGCCCAATCCTTAGGCAACTTTATTTTTTCATAATTGCGGCAGTTTCAGAGAAACTGGTATTATGAATAGTTAAGTGTCTAGTGGCTGCCCATTGACAGCCATTGAGGCGCTTGCGTTTCTACCGTGATTTCACAGCGAGAGCGCCAGCGTATGCATTGTAAATGCTTTCCTATGAGACCGGCTGAATGCGCGCGCAGCTCTTGCCGCGCGTGCGCATTCAGCCGGCGGGGCGGACGGAGGGGAGAGGAGGAGGAGAGCTCTCCGCCCAGCGCTGGAAAAAGGTAAGTTATTACCCCTTTCCCCCTTCCAGAGCCGGACGGGAGGGGGTCCCTGAGGGTGGGGGCACCCTCAGGGCACTATAGTGCCAGGAAAACGAGTATGTTTTCCTGGCACTATAGTGGTCCTTTAACCCATTGATAAACATAGCAGTTTCTCTGAAACTGCTATGTTTATGAAAATATGGGTTAACCCTAGCTGGACCAGGCACCCAGACCACTTCATTAAGCCGAAGTGGTCTGGGTGCCTAGAGTGGTCCTTTAACGGTTGCATTTTGTATATGCTATAGACACCAGAACAACTACATCACTACATTAATCTGTAGTGGTTCTGGTGACTATAGTGTCCCTTTAAATAAATGTAGTTAATTTTAATTTTGATATAGTGCTGATCAGTAATCTAACAAACTCTTCTGTTTTTACCTACAAGTAAGAGCTAGCTATGACTCCCTTGAAAAATGAAAATGAAAAATAAAATAAAAAATTGAATATAATGATTTCAATAAAAAAAGTAAAGATATAATTGGCATGCACTAGATTTACTTTGAACCATAAGTGCTTTGCCTGACATATGCCAATGTTTTAATGAAGATCTGTGTGCAGACAGAGTAAGCTCATTAATTACGGAGTTATCTGTCTGCCAGTTCTATGTACACAGAATAATAATCCATACATAAACTATTAACTCTGCATGATATGTTAGCTTGAGCTTGTGCATTCTGATATTTTCTTATACAATTCTGTACAATAGGGTGAAACAGATTTTGCAAATATCATGGTTGAGTGGTGGGGATATATGTAGGCTTGACCGAGGTCTGGTGTGGGTGGTGGTGTGTGTACGTGTGTTGGGGGGGTGTGAAGAGGCAGGGGGTGTAGTTGTGTAAGTGTGTGGTGGGGAGGGTTTAGCTGGGGGGGGTGGGGAGAACACAGAGTGAGGGGTAGAAGTTGAGGGGGATAGGAGCACGGGGGGGAGTAAGAAGACAGAGAGGAGGGAAGAAGGAGAGAGAGAGAAGAAAAAGAGAGAAGGAAAAAAAGGAGGGGTGGGGGAGGGTGGTGGTGGGTTATCCAGATGTGGTGGAGTGGAGGGATTAAAGTCTTTGGGATGAAGGGGGGGTGGAGCAGGTTAGGCTGTGGTTATTCTATCTCTTGTCAACCCGGGGCCCTCACGTGGGTTGAGGGGACTCGTAGAGCAATGGGTCCCAGATTTTTTCAAAGTTGGGGGGTGGTGTCATGTACCAGGGTGGATAATTGATCCATCTTCCTGGCGTCTTCTATTTTACGCATCACCGTTTGTAGTGATGGTACCTCGGCCCTGGCCCATGTTTCAGCAATATCCCTCCTTGTTGCCAGGGCGATTCTAGCTATTAGCTTATTTTGGCATTTGGGGGTGTTTTTGAGAGGTCTTGAAAGGAGCCATGTCCATAGGTCTAGTGGGATGTTTGTATGTAGTACTTTGGATGCTACTTGTGATATTTGGAGCCATAGGTGGCTATTTAGGTGCATTCCCACCAGATGTGGAGGTAGGTGCCCTTTCCCCCACAGTTTTTCCAGCACTGGTCAGTGTTCAAGATGCCCATTTATTTGAGCCGGAGGGGACTGAGGTACCAGCGCATTAGTGTTTTATACTCTTGTTCCTTGTGATTTACGCATATCGATAGCATGATCGTGGCCTCCCATATGTCTCCCCAGTCCGAGGGATGTTCGGGTGGGGTTCCAAATCCCTCTCCCAGGCCGACACATATGTTAGCGAACCCTCATTGTAGGATGTGATTATGGTTGTGTAGAGGATGGGGATCTGGCTTTTTTGGATCAGGCAGGTCATGCAGGCTCTTTTGAAGGGGGCGAGTTTCATGGTGCCTGCTCCTTTATTGATTGGTGTGTCCAGGAAGCTGCGAATTTGGATGTAACGGAAATTATCAAATGTGGTTAATGGTGCGCGTTGGGGGAGGCCTGAGAAGGGGAGTAGTGTTTGGTTTTGGAAAAATTGGTAGAAGCGGATGAGGTCGTTGTCCTCAAATCTGGAGAAATGCTGGGGTTTCATGCCAGAGGTGAACTGCACATTGCGTAGAACTGGTGTGAGTGGGGAGTGGGTGGATGTCATTGAGCATTTGGTCGTAATCCTATCCCAGATATTATCCCAGTTTAGTAGTGCTGGGGTGGTGGTGGGTAAGTGTGGTCTAGCTTGTTTGGATAGCCAGACGTAGAGGGATGGGAAATCTCTGCCGAATATTGTGTACTGCAGGTCTAAATCATCGCTTTATGCTGTATGGGGCATGTACAGGGAGTGCAGAATTATTAGGCAAGTTGTATTTTTGAGGATTAATTTTATTATTGAACAACAACCATGTTCTCAATGAACCCAAAAAACTCATTAATATCAAAGCTGAATATTTTTGGAAGTAGTTTTTAGTTTGTTTTTAGTTATAGCTATGTTAGGGGGATATCTGTGTGTGCAGGTGACTATTACTGTGCATAATTATTAGGCAACTTAACAAAAAACAAATATATACCCATTTCAATTATTTATTATTACCAGTGAAACCAATATAACATCTCAACATTCACAAATATACATTTCTGACATTCAAAAACAAAACAAAAACAAATCAGTGACCAATATAGCCACCTTTCTTTGCAAGGACACTCAAAAGCCTGCCATCCATGGATTCTGTCAGTGTTTTGATCTGTTCACCATCAACATTGCGTGCAGCAGCAACCACAGCCTCCCAGACACTGTTCAGAGAGGTGTACTGTTTTCCCTCCTTGTAAATCTCACATTTGATGATGGACCACAGGTTCTCAATGGGGTTCAGATCAGGTGAACAAGGAGGCCATGTCATTAGATTTTCTTCTTTTATACCCTTTCTTGCCAGCCACGCTGTGGAGTACTTGGACGCGTGTGATGGAGCATTGTCCTGCATGAAAATCATGTTTTTCTTGAAGGATGCAGACTTCTTCCTGTACCACTGCTTGAAGAAGGTGTCTTCCAGGAACTGGCAGTAGGACTGGGAGTTGAGCTTGACTCCATCCTCAACCCAAAAAGGCCCCACAAGCTCATCTTTGATGATACCAGCCCAAACCAGTACTCCACCTCCACCTTGCTGGCGTCTGAGTCGGACTGGAGCTCTCTGCCCTTTACCAATCCAGCCACGGGCCCATCCATCTGGCCCATCAAGACTCACTCTCATTTCATCAGTCCATAAAACCTTAGAAAAATCAGTCTTGAGATATTTCTTGGCCCAGTCTTGACGCTTCAGCTTGTGTGTCTTGTTCAGTGGTGGTCGTCTTTCAGCCTTTCTTACCTTGGCCATGTCTCTGAGTATTGCACACCTTGTGCTTTTGGGCACTCCAGTGATGTTGCAGCTCTGAAATATGGCCAAACTGGTGGCAAGTGGCATCGTGGCAGCTGCACGCTTGACTTTTCTCAGTTCATGGGCAGTTATTTTGCGCCTTGGTTTTTCCACACGCTTCTTGCGACCCTGTTGACTATTTTGAATGAAACGCTTGATTGTTCGATGATCACGCTTCAGAAGCTTTGCAATTTTAAGAGTGCTGCATCCCTCTGCAAGATATCTCACTATTTTTGACTTTTCTGAGCCTGTCAAGTCCTTCTTTTGACCCATTTTGCCAAAGGAAAGGAAGTTGCCTAATAATTATGCACACCTGATATAGGGTGTTGATGTCATTAGACCACACCCCTTCTCATTACAGAGATGCACATCACCTAATATGCTTAATTGGTAGTAGGCTTTCGAGCCTATACAGCTTGGAGTAAGACAACATGCCTAAAGAGGATGATGTGGTCAAAATACTCATTTGCCTAATAATTCTGCACTCCCTGTAGGTGTTGTACCTGTGTTAGTTGCGCTGTGTGATAGTAATGTATGTAGTGAGGGAGGCCCAGTTCCCCAGATCTGTTTGGTAGGTAGAGTGTCGCCCATTTAATTCTGGCTTTTTTGTTGGCCCATATGAATCTGTCTGCTTGGGTTTGTAGGGCTTTGAAATCGGCAGTGGCAATTTGTATGGGCAATGCCTGGAACAGGTAGAGCAATCTGGGCAGTAGATTCATTTTGACAGATGGCATTCTTCCCATCCATGAGATCGATAGGTCTGCCCAGGATTTAAGATCTTGTGACGCAGTTTGTAGTAGTGGTGTGTAATTGAGCTTGTATGTTAGTGTCAGGTCTTTTGGGATACGGGTCCCCACGTATCTCATATCTGTGTTTGTGAAGTTGAATGGGTATGTGCATGGTGTTGGTGTGGTTCAATGTGGATAGGTAGGGCTTCCGTTTTTTCTTTGTTCAGCTGAAATTGTTGCGTAGTCCTGTAGGGCAGCTAATAGTGGCGGCATGGAGTTAGTGGGGTCGGTGATGGTTACCAGTAGGTCACCCGCGTAGGCTGCGATTTTGTATTCTTCTGTGCGGATTGTGATTCCCATTGTGTCTTTATGATGTCTGAGTGATTGTAGTAGTCTTGTACCATTGTGATGGCGCATGGGTAAGCGGCAGTAGGAGGTTGGCTGTGGGGGAGGCATATAATGTTTGCAGGGCATTTAAGAAGGGTCGTGGAAACCTGAATTTGCCAAAGTTGCGAACAAGAATGGCCAGAGCAGTCGGTCAAATGCTTTTTTAGCATCGAGCGATAGGAGTAGAGTGTGGGTTTTCTTGTGTGTCACCATCCAAATGAGATTGTATGTGCGCCTGATGTTGTCGCTAGCCTGCCTGTTGGGAATGAATCCTACCTGATCTGGATAAATTAATTTGTGTAAGTAGGGGTTCAAGCAGTTGGCAAGTATTTTCGTAAATAGTTTGATATCTACATTCAGTAATGAGATGGGGTGGTAATGGCCTGGCTCTAGAAGCGTTTTGTTGGCACCCATTTCTTAAAAGGTATCTTGGGGTTACCCACACATAGATGCAATATGTGGCTTTTATGCTGTTTTTTTTTAATACCTTCTTTAGTTTAGATTTCTTTACATTTGCTCTCTAAGTTCCCTATTTCCATAAATCATTTCCGACCTTCAATATTTTAATTCTTGTGCCAATAATACTACTTTGCAGAGTGTCATGATTTTCTGGCAGCCAAGGCTGGCACAAGGAGTGTGCAGTGTGTACCCAGTACATCCTGACACTGGGCAAAATTGGCCACCCTGTCCCATGTTTGGGTCTATATGGGCACTTTTATGTACAGTTTGGCTAGGTTGCCATGGTTTTGAAGAAAATCATGAGTATTTCTATATACATCATGTAATCACTATAGCAAGAAATGTAGTCTGTATGTTATTTTTTAAGTTTGAATTTTAAGTAAAGTTTAGGTGGTAATATCCTGTTCCTGGGAGTTCTAGTTTAACTGTATTCTACAGTATACACCTGCCATTTGAACTACAATTCACCAAAACCTTCTCTGTGTCCATAAAGCACTATTTTTTTGGATAAGCTCAGCAATGCTATTGGAAGTTAAGCATTATGAATGTCTGAGTCTTTTCCTGGCCTAGGCAAAGCTCACTGTTAGAGCTGCAATGCATTACCTTTTGCCAAAAGTGCAGAACCTTCAAATGTGAGAATCTTTTTTTCAATATTTAAAAAAAAATTGTTTCTGCATTTTAAAAAATTTTTTTTTACATTCTTTATTTTTTCTGTGCACAAGATAATACAGAGATTTGCATTTTTAACACACCACAGTGGTGGATGGTGACATTTTATGATGGTGGAGTGTTTTGTTGAGTACATATCACTTATAAATACTGAAGAGCTGCACAAGGGAATTGGTAATTGAGAAATCCTGTAGCATAATAATCAATTCTACATACTGCTGTGTAGTCCATCAACATAAATATGCAAAATGGGGGAACCAGATAGATCTGCCTCAGTGATAAAAAAAAGGATGCTTTATATCTACATTAAGTAATGTAGACTGCTTCTTGCATTAACAACAGAAATATTTGATATGTAGTTTTGTTAAGATATAGAATTATTTTGATTTTAACCAGGGACTCTAGTGATAGGATGGTTTTACATGAGATAACGGTTAAATTAGATCCATTAAATACTAATATACTTAGCTCCAAGAAGTTCTGTAATTTAATATTTTGATTGATGAGTAGTAAAAAAACTGCACTTAATGTGTACTTTATGTAAATGTGTATTTCATGAGTAAATAATGCATAACTTAATTTATAGTTTCCATGAAATATTTTTTATTTTAAAGGGACACTATAGTCACCAGAACAACTACAGTTTATTGCATGTGTTCTGGTGAACCAAGCCCTTCAGGCTTTTTGCAGTAAACACAGTCTTTTCAGAGAAAATTTTTAGTTTACATTACTGCCTAGTAATAACTCCACTGGTCACTCCTCAGATGGCTACTAGAGGTGCTTCCTTGGGCAGTCCAGCCTAGTGTGCATCACAACATTCAGTGTCTCCACCCTCTGCATGCAGACACTGAACTTTCCTTATAGAGATGCATTGATTTAATTCATCTCTATGAGGAAATGCTGGTTGGCCACGGCTGTGTTTGATTTGTGCTGGCTCTGCCCCTGATCTTCCTCATTGACAGTCTCAGCCAATCCTATGTGGAAGCATTGTGATTGGCTTACACTAACACTTCTGATGATTTCAGAGGTAAGATGCAGTTCAGAGGCAAACACAGTAGCGTCAGACTTAAATACAAGTAAGAATTTTCTATATTTAGAGAGGCAAGAGGAGGCCAGGGTGGTTAGAGGGTGGTTTTAACACTATAAGGTCAGGAATACCTGTTTGTGTTCCTGACCCTATAGTGTTCCTTTAAGAATTATATGCATTAACAATTTATGAAACTACTAACTGTTTTAAGATATTATATTTACAAAAAAACATACACAAAAGGAGCACAAAGCAAGTATACAATATATTTATGTTTGTAGCACTGTATTCTTGAAAGTCAGAAAAAACCTGTTTTGAATAACTTGGCTAACAGTGTGGCTCACATCGCTTTAGAATGTATAAGAAGATAAGAGTATTTTACAGGATAGGCACATTTGTACTCTGGGTCACTAGAAAGGTGAAGTGAGATTAGATATAAATACACTGAGTGATATAATAGTATTGTACATTCTAATCACCAGAAAAACCTCTGACCAAGAAGGGTTTAAAGACATTTTTGTGTTATACAGGATGGCAATATTTGGCACCTTGGCTGCTAAGAATCTTTAGCTCACATCTAATCAGCATCTGAGTGTTGCCATGATCAGGCAGGAAATGCTTTTTTAAAATATAGGATTCAGACAGCAGTCAACATTTTATCACCTAGGTTTAAGCCCATGGAACCCACCTATGGCCCCTACATTGACTACACCCTGGAGTCTTGTTTTGATATCTGATAACTTTACCCCATTAAAGTAGACCTGTTACTTTTGGCTAAGTTCTCCCTAGTGAAATATGCATGAGATGTTGGCACCTGGGGTTGAAACACTGCCCATAAATTCTCTGCTGTCTTCCCGCTTATTAGGGTCATATCAACATTGTACTCTTGTGCATGTGTGAGAGTAGAAAATAAAATAGAAGACTATGAAAGATCGCGACAGACTTTGAAATTATCCACAGATCTTCTCACACCATCATAATAACATTCAATAGGTATTTTTATGCATTACAGGTTGGATTCTACACCTCAATTAACTAACATGATGAACGTCGTATTTATATAAGCTTTCAATACTGCATCGAGATAGATAGCTAAGAGGACACATGAGAACTGGAGCATTATGAGGGAAGATCCCTTCCTACCATAGACCCACCTCATAAGCTGTACATATCAACCTTATGGATCTGTTGGTACACACTGAGTGGCCTGTGGTAGGTGGAATTAGAGGATGCTATTGCGGGTTGGCTTATATTGGCAAGACAACTAATGACTTTTGTAAGAGGATTAGAGGGCATCAATCTTCTATAAGGACTGCAGCCCCTCCAAAAATGGGTACTTTGCACCCCCAGTGGCTAAATACTTTCAGCAGACTGGACATAATATACCCATATTTAGATTAATTGAAAATAACCATGTGCTGTGATTCCCTCTGGGGGTAGATAAGAACAAGGAATACCTGAGGCAAGAGGCCTTTTATATTTACACTCTCAACCCTAATGCCACCAATGAGAAGAACCCATTGCATTGTTTTTTTTGGACAGTATTTAAATAGATGCTGTGTCAGTGTTTATTTGTTTTCTTAAATGTTTATTTGACAGCTTCTTCTGTCTATGATGTTTATTTCAGTATAGCTGGATTCTCTCTCCACATAAATACGTGTTTTTACATTTATGTACATTTTTTTTTTTTTCAGGTGGCCGTGAATGTGCTTTTTACTTAGGTGATCTTGCCTAGTAATGGTAGGGTCTTGGTTTATATAGCTGCATGCCCTTTTCTGGTGTTGAGGCTAATTTGTGCAATTAGGATACACATGGTAATATTCTTGGGAAAGAGCATGTAAAGATTTATTGATAACTTGAACTTTTGTGTCTCTCATAAAGACCTGCTGATCTCTGTTTTTCTTTTTAGTTAGGACTCTTATTTTCCCTTCAGTGTATGCTCAGAGTGAAGGCTAATGCAATGTGTCTGCTTCTATCATGTCACCACAAGTGGAATGCTGAAGAGGGATGCAGTTAAAATGTAAGTAATTCTTCCTGGCCCAATATGAATCCAGGTCCACTCTAACTAATTAGTCATTCTTTTTAATGCAGGCTTTACAGACAGACACCTCCACATACTCCTACACACAATCACAGGTACCCATTGCTAGACACACACATACAAACACAAAATGCAATTCACATAGGCACACACATATATTGCCAGACACACACAATTACATTAAGAGATATACATTGAAATATGGAAACAAAACAATAATTATGTGCAGAGGAGGGAAATGCCAAATAGGTGAGATTTAAGTGCACTCCACACAACAAACAAGTACACTGTAAAAAACAAGTGCAGGTGCAAGTGCACAGATCCCATACAGAGAATATTAAATATGCAACATCATTACTCTCCTTGGGATATACCATTTTTCAGAGAAGCATAATGGGGAATGCATTTTGAAATTGAGCAAGTTAAAGGCCATTGGACAGGTACAGTGAGGGAAAAAAGTATTTGATCCCCTGCTGATGTTTAATGTTTGCCCACTGACAAAGAAATGATCAGGCTATAATTTTAATGGTAGGTGTATTTTAACAGTGAGAGACAGAATACCCTAAAAAAATCCGGAAAAAAGCATGTCAAAAAAGTTATAAATTGATTTGCATGTCAATGAGTGAAATAAGTATTTGACCCTTTCAACTTAGTACTTGGTAGCAAAACAATTGTTGGCAATCACAGAGCTCAGACGATTCTTGTAGTTTGCCACCAGGTTTGTACACATCTCAGGAGGGATTTTGTCCCACTCCTCTTTGCAGATCCTCTCCAAGTCATTAAGGTTTCGAGGCTGACGTTTGGCAATTCGAGCCATCAGCTCCCTCCACAGATTGTCTATGGGATTAAGGTCTGGAGACTGGCTATGCCACTTCAGGACCTTAATGTGCTAATTCTTGAGCAACTCCTTTGTTGCCTTGGCTGTGTGTTTTGGGTCATTGCCATGCTGGAATATCCATCCACGACCCATTTTCAATGCCCTAGCTGAGGGAAGGAGGTTCTCACCCATGATTTGACGGTACATGGCCCCGTCCATCTTCCCTTTGATGCGGTGCAGTTGTCCTGTCCCCTTAGCAGAAAAACACCCCCAAAGCAAAATGTTTCCACCTCCATGTTTGATGGTGGGGATGGTGTTCTTGGGGTCGTAGGCAGTATTCCTCCTCCTCCAAACACGACGAGTTGAGGCCAAAGAGCTCAATTTTGTTCTCATCTGACCACCACACTTTCACCCAGTTCTCTTCTGAATCATTCAGATGTTCATTGGCAAACTTCAGATGGGCCTGTACATGTGCTATCTTAAATAGGGGAACCTTGAGCTGCAGGATTTCAGTTCTTCACGGGATAGTGTGTTACCAATTGTTTTCTTGGAGACTATGGTTCCAGCTGCCTTGATATCATTAACAAGATCCTCCAGTGTAGTTCTGGTCTGATTCCTCACCATTCTCATGATCATTAAAACTCAATGAGGTGAGATCTTGCATGGAGCACCAGACCGTGGGAGACTGACAGTTATATTGTGTTTCTTCCATTTGCGAATAATCGCACCAACTGTTGTCACCTTCAGTGGTGTATCCTGGTTTTGTGCTGCCCTAGGCAGGACAAAACTCAAGCACCCCCCCCCGCGCGCCACCCCCACCCGCGCAACCGCCACCCAACCTTCCCCCCTGCTCCGCCTTCTAAATACACACACACACATTCACTGACAGATACGCATTCACTAGCTAACAGAAACACACACTCACTAACAGACACACACACTCACAGGCAAACACACACACTAACAGACATCCACACTAACAGACATCCACACTAACACTAACAGACACACACTAACACTAACATACACTAACACTAACATACACTAACATACACACACACACTAACATACACACACACTAACAGACACACACTAACAGACACACACTAACAGACACACACTAACATACACACACTAACAGACACACTAACAGACACACACTAACAGACACACTAACATACACACACTAACAGACATCCACACACACACTAGCAGACATACACACACTCACTAGTGTTTTTTTTTGGTTTTTTTATTTAACCCCCCCAGCCTCCTTACTTTTGCTGGGGGGGTTCTTCCTCTCCCTGGGGTCCTGGGGTCCTGTGGCTGCAGGGCGGGCGGGCGGGCGGCCGGCCGGCCGGCAAGGGAGCTCTTCCCCTGAGCGCTCTGCTCAGCTCAGCTCCCTCGCGCGCCGCCAGCAGAGTGAGGCTGGGAGCCGGAATATGACGTCATCAACCCACACTCTGCTGGCGGCGCGCGAGGGAGCTGAGCAGAGCGCTCAGGGGAAGAGCTCCCTCGCCGGCCGCCCGCCCAGCGCCCAGAATGTCTCTTAGCCGCGAGGCTAACAAGACATTTTTTCCCTGGGCATTTGGGGGGCGGCGTTTTTTGCCGCCCCCTGAAAAATGCCGCCCAAGGCAAATGCCTTGTTTGCCTCGCGGCTAATACGCCCCTGGTCACCTTGTCACCAAGTTTCTTGGCGATGGTCTTGTAGCCCATTCCAGCCTTGTGTAGGTCTACAATCTTGTCCCTGACATCCTCGAACAGCTCTTTGGTCTTGGCCATGGTGGAGAGTTTGGAATCTGATTGATTGCTGCTGTGGACAGGTGCCTTTTATACAGGTAACAAGCTGAGATTAGGAGCACTCCCTCTAATTGCAGCTCGTTATCTGTATAAATCTGTATAAATTTAGAAATATTGCTGATTGATAGGGGATCAAATACTTATTTCACTCATTGACATGCAAATCAATTTATAACTTTTTTGACATGCTTTTTTCTGGATTTTGTTTTTTTTGTTATTCAGTCTCTCACTGTTAAAATACACCTACCATTAAAATTATTGACTGATCACTTCTTTGTCAGTGGGCAAATGTTCAAAATCAGCAGAGGATCAAATATTTTTTCCCCTCACTGTAGTGATACAGTGAATAATTTAGGTAGAAATTTAGTGGATGTTTGAACTTAGCGCTGTAACTCTCAATGGTTTAAAACTAGACTTTGATATAACACTACTTATCTAATATAGTTCCGCTTTTAAAAAAAAATAATCTATTTTTATCTGTTTTAACTATTTAAAATCCTGATCTCTATTTCTCAGCTTCTACAGCTTATTGAATTTGTTCTTGTGAGTATAATCATTCCCTTCAGGCTTTTTGCAGTAAACACTTTCTTTTCAGATAAAAGGCAGTGTTTACATTACAGCCTAGGGATACCTCCACTGATATGGCTACTAGAGGTGATTCCTGGGGACAATGCTGCACATTGTCCAGCACTGCCATTCAGTGTCTCCACCCTCTGCATTCAGACACTGAACTTCCTCATAGATTCAATGCATCTCTATGAGGAGATGCTGATTGGCCAGGGCTGTGTTTGGCTTGTGCTGTATCTGCCCCTGATCTGCCTCCTTGGCAGTCTCAGTCTATCCAATTCTTTCCCATGGGAAAGCATTGTGATGGGCTGAGAGAATCACGTCTTATGATATCAGCCAAGCAGGTAGATCAGGTACTTCAGCAGACTGAAGTAAAGGTAAGATTTTACTATATTTAAGAGGGGAGGGGCAGGGGGCTAGATGGTGGTTTTAACACTATAGAGTCAGGAATACATGTTAGTGTTCCTGACCTAATAGTGTTCCTTTAAGTCTGAGTCAGCTGTAATTCAGCAGTATGCTAGTGGAACACTTCTGTAATATCTGTGTTACTTTTTTTTGTAAGTTTATATGCTACACTATAAGTTGTGTTTTTAAGCTTTGTAGATTCTGTTTGGTATATCTAAAGGTTGTTGCATGTTTAATCTACATTGAAATACACACATACAAGAATACACATTGCCATACACACACTCAAACAGATTTTATACATATATATAAAAAAAAAACCCTAGCGCTTCAGGAAAAAGTCAAGTGTCTGTATCTGCCTTATGTGAGTGTGCAGTGAGTTCTCAGTGAAGTGTAAGAACTATAACTCTCCATCACAGATCTGAAATGCAGGGCGAGTAGGAGAGACTATTGGGCCTCAGTATTTTTTAGGTAGTTTGCCAGTGTACTGTGTATATCCACCCAATAGTGTATCTTCTTGTATGTAAGATAGTGTCTGGATAAATGTGATTGGTGGGCGATGTGTATAAGGGATGGTGAGCTGCCCTTATATGGAGAGAGTGGTTGATTCACAGGACTGTGCTTTCTAAATTGATGGTGGGATTACACACAGGATTTTTGAGTAATCCTGTGCACACCTCAGTAAAGTCATTGTTGCATTGTTGTAGAAGCTGTGTACCTAGTGAACAATAACAGTGAGGAAACAGGGAATATAAAAAAAATAGGTAGAGAACTAGACAGCTAGGTTTATGTTATAAAGTAGGCATCTGCTTCCCCAGCATGTTTTGATTTTACAATATTTGTGACCCCCACCACAGTTACAGTCATGTTAAAAGGGCGTTTGTAATGAGAATTGCCAGTAGCCACAAAAAGATGAGGCATGTGAATCTTAGCTTATCCCCATTTACATGTTTAACCTGTTATGCCATTTCAGTATTTTTGCCTTGCCCAACAGTTGTGATTCCCACATTTTTCTAGCCTTTGAAATATGTTTCTTTGAATGGATCTTACCTGTAGCACCTGTCTGTATTGCAGGTTGATGAGTTGCAGACAGAGAAGTAATCAATCCCAGCTCATAGACCTTGCACATATCAGTGTGAAAAAGCTCCACCGAACAGGCAAACTGCACCCACAGACGCTCTAAATCCGCACGGTCTTCTTTGGAAAGCTGTTTGTTCCGAAGTGCTGAGGTCAGCTTATTCCTGTTACTCACTGCCAGCTCCTGTGCCTTCTCACGAGTGCGTCTCAGCTCATCTCGAAGGCGAATATTATCTGATGACCCCCCAACAGAGACTGCCAGATGCCTGTAGCAAGATACCACCTTCCATGCACATAGAGACAATAAAATAAAATAAAAATAATTTCACATTTAGATTTATTATAGCCACATCTCTTAACATGAGTGAAAAGAACACATGAAGGTAAAAGCAAATCCTGCATTAGTCCCTCAGTACATTATTTAATCCATTGGTGTCTACATTTAATGAGTACAATTGGGGGTTATTCACCAAAATGCAAAGTGAATTAACAGTGAAAATCTAAATTTAGGGCAAAATATACATTAGAAAGATTCTCCAAGACAATTCTGTGCTTAGTTTGGCTATTTTGGCAAATTAACTTTGAGTTTCCAGCAATTCACTTTAGTAAGCACCATGTAAATCTTCATGCTTTAGTCACTGAAGTGTGCATTCAAAGTGAATTTCAAATTTAAGGTCAAAATAGCCAAAAAGGAACAATTCTCAAAGTCCGCTATGCTTCCAGTTCCACTAATTTGGCCTTAAAATGACTTTGAATTCGCACTTTAGTAAATAGTCCTGTTTGGATTCTCACCTTATTTCTGACACTCAATGTAATCCTGAATGAGGGGTCTGAATGTAAGAATAGTAATAATAATGTCGACACCTCCTTAACACCTCCAACTTTCTAATAATAATGTTAATATAATAATTAAAAGAAATCAACTCCCTACTTCTGTATTTTACAATAATGACGGAGACCTAAGTCTCTGTATTAGTAACAGTTATTTAAAGTGACAGAGAAACTTTTGAGAAAAGTGTAGACCCTGTCCCCAACCCCTGTGTCCCCAACTCTCCTTTTTAGAAAACAATTTTCAGTGTCATTAAATGAATGGAGGACGAGTCCATGTCTCCTCTAACTCACTAGAATAATTGAGAGAATGAGACTTTCAGCTAAATGCAGTCATATTCCACTTTCTGCCTAATGCTCCAGCAACCCTCTGTAAAAATAACCACTTTATTGCTGTACTATGCAGGAATAATGTAACCTGTATGTACCTTTTACTCATAGTGATTGTGTGTGACAGAGATACTTGGGGGTAAGTTCAGTTACTGTTCTCATCTGTCCCCCCCCTGTCATACTCTAATTTTAGTTTTTATTAATTCTTTATTTTTATTGCGTATGATATTACAAGAGTGTGCAACGCCACAACAGCTGGGGAACACATATTAAAATCACAGGTTACGACATGGCTATAATATAGTTACGCATTTTGTGTTTTTCTAGTTTACAGTTGAGTTGGTTCTAGTGCAAGGTAGGCCTCACAGTCAAGTGTGCGTGTCTAGTGTGTGATATACATTGGGTATGGCTATAGACTGCTAGGCTACTTCGTGAGTCATTGAGCTGGTCGCTTGCATCTCTTGTCACTGCTAGGTTGTTGTGAATCTCTTTGGCCATCAGTGTATAGACTTAGCTGTCAAATGTTGACCTTCTGTGTCCCTATTTGTTATATGCCTCATCCCATATTCGCTTAAGGCAGATGGGAGGGCGGGGGGGGAGAGTTTTAATCTATTGGTTGTAATTCAGATCATATTATAGCAGCTGAGCTGTGTTGCTGCTGTCGTGTGTGATAGTAAGGCATTAACTTTAGAGAGGAAAGTAAGGTAAGTAACTGAAAAGTAAGTAAAAACATTAGCTTGGTGGGAATGTCACATGAGGGAACCCTCATGTGGTGGCCATCGCATAGGGGCCTCGTCTGGGTTGTCTTGGTACGAAGGCTGTCACGTTGTCTGGATCCCATCTGTGCGATGGACCGGCAGGTGCTGTGTGCTGCAGAGCATCTTGAGGGAGTCCCAGTGCTGGCAACAGTTCCTGTGCACCTTGAAGGTCACTGACCTCATGTTTCTCGTCGCCCTTTATGATGGATATGGTGTGGTTAAGGTACCATTGATATGGGACACCATGTTGTCTCAGGAGCGAGGTAAATGGCTTGAGGGTCCTCCTCCAGGCTAGTGTGCCCCCAGATAGGTCTGCAAAAAAGGATAGTGTCATCGCTTCGAATGAGTATGAGGAGCAATCTTTGACTGCTGCCAGTGTTGCCGCTTTATCTTTCCCTTGCTGAAATCGGATTATGAGGTCTCGGGTGGCCGTTTTTGGGGCTCTGGCTGGCTTTGGGGCCGTTAAGACACCGTCCAGTGTGATGGCCTTAGCTTGCCGCGGCGATAATAGCGCCGTTAGGAGCCTTGGTGCGAGGTGCGGCAGTTCGGCTGACGGGATGTCGTCAGGTACACCCCTCACTTTCAGGTTATTCACCCGCCTTGTATCCTTTAGGGAGGTGAATCTTCGTTCAAAGTCTTTGTTTTGGCTCTGTATGCCCTTGATCTCCTGTTGTAAGGAGGGGATGTGGGTAGTGTTGGTCGCGGAGGCAGTCTCCAGGGTGCCCAGTCTTCCCGTCAGCCCTTGTATGTCCGTGCGGAGGTTAGCCATATCTGACTGGATTGTGGCTTGGAGGTCTGCCAAAAGGCTTTTGAGCACCGCTATGGTCACTGGTGCTGTGTCAGGGCTCGGGGGTTGTCGTGTGGCTGCCATCAAGCTGGGTAATTTGGGTGTATCTTCACCCAGGGAGAAGTCATTCGATAATTTAGAGCATGTCTCCGGGTAGTCGGACATCTTGGGCCTAGTTGCTCTGTGGGCTTGTCTCCACATGGCTCAGATGTCTAAGCATTGTCTGGGCTGGTGCGGTTTCTGTTTTTTGGTCTTTCGACCCATATTGATTCCCCAACAGACCCTTAATGTGTGTAGCTGTTGTGGTCGTTTTTTGTGCCCTGAATAGGGTGTTTATTGCGGTTATTCTCAGGAGCTCTAGTGCCATGCGACCGTTCAGCTCTGCTGCTTGGCTCCACCCCTCTAATTTTAGTTTTAAACTCTTATTGTCATGAAGCAAGAAGGAATAATACGTAAGATATTCACGGGTATTACTTGAAAGTGGAAACTTGATGACTTATTGGTTAACATACTTTAAATGATAGTTTTTAATAAAATAAAAAGAATTAAAGAACAGTAATACAAATAATCGAAAACAAACTGAGTGAGCATGCATTCTTTTACTAATTGTGTGTAATTTGGCAACATAAATGAGATCTGCCGCATTATTGAGGGGAACAAATCCAACATGTCCAGCATAAAAAAGGATTGTGTTATATTACTATGAGGGGCTGGACTGCTATAACCCTGGTTAAGTACTAGTCTGTGAATTCAAAAGTGGATTTAATTTTGGTCTGAGTGGAATGGTCTAGTGAAGGGTTAGTCAACCTTTTAATACCTGCCGCCCACTTTTGTATCTTTGTTGATGGTAAAATTTCCTTACCGCCCACCAGTGCCGCAGTAACTAATTTTATAGTCCAGTGGTGGCATGTTCAATTTAGCCCGCAGCTGCTCCCACTTCAGGCTGGCTATCCTGTCCTCCTGCAACGTCAGCACTGTATCGGAGCGTTGTCATGGTAACGTGAGGCAATGCTCCAACCAGCCTGCTCGCTTGAGGAACACAGAGTCTCCTAGGCCCTTACCTCCCTCTGCTGTAACTAGGTGCCAGCAGGCCAATGAGGAAGATCTTTGATTTTCTCATCAACCCAAAAAGGGCTTACAGCGAAGCCGGCTCTACATGGGTCAGCAGGGGAGATTAAAGGATCTCTGTGACAGAGCTCTTCTACTTCGACCGAGTACCTCCACCCACTCTACTTCCTAGCCACTTGCAGGAACCCTGGAACGCTTCTGCCCCAGTCGTCAAAGCTTGCCTGGGGTCTCTCAGGAGCTCTTCCACCTGACCAGGCTGCATCTCTCCTTCCAGGCAGGTGTCGTCACCTCTGCAGGCCTTCTTCCAGGTATTTATCATCCCCTCTGCCTATTGCTCTGCAACTTTCCTTCCAGTGATTGCTTTTAACCTTACAAAAGCACTTGTGGGTCTCAGGCCTAGCTCTCTTGATTTATCCCAGGGCCAGAGAGATCATGTAGTGAGCCAACGGGTCTGAAGACTCTGTCACTAAGATCCCTAAAAATCCACACAGGACACAAGTTCCAAAAGGAACTAACATACAAAGCTTTAATTTCACTTGGGACTAGCCCATATGATTATTACATAAAGATTGCTGTGACAAACTTAGTAAAATACAAATAACCAAAACATGTCAGAAAATATACAGGGAATTATAATAACATATCTACAAAGGGGTAAGGAAGTCAATAACCAACACAAAATAGCTCTCCTGCCTGCAGAATTAGCAATATGCAACTCTACCTGAATATGCAAATTAGCAAGCCATGTCATTCAGGTAGTGCATATATACTGAACAAAATTTGAAAAAACGCAACACTTTTGTTTTTGTCCCCATTTTTCATGTGCTGAACTCAAAGATCTAAGACTTTTTCTATGTACACAAAAGGCCTATTTCTCTCAAATATTTTTCACAAATCTGTCTAAATCTGTATTAGTGAACACTTCTCCTTTGCGGAGATAATCCATCCACCTCAGAGGTGTGGCATATCAAGATGCTGATTAGACAGCATGATTATTGCACAGGTGTAGACATGTGCACCAGTGAAATTTTCATTTCGAACAAATGATTTCGTACTAAATAAAAATTTAATTAGTCAATCCCGAATTTCATTTGTAAACCATTTGTTCTCAAACGAAATTCGGTAAAAAAAATAAACCGTATTCCTGCATTAGGATGAAAATAGCATTGCGCATGCGCCCACCAAAAAAAGCCAAGGAGGGAGCCGGCAGCGCTACCAGCTCCCTCCTTGTAATAAATTATTCCTGCCCAACTACTGCATTAAAACCTATGGGGGTCTCTATGACCCCCATATAAATAAAAGGGAGGTTAAATCCTCCCGCATGCCCCTACTTGCGGCATGCCGTGAGTAGAGGCATGTTGCCTAAATAGCGAGCAGCCAGTGGTTGCTTGCTGTCATTTAAAACTAAATATAAATCAGTATGTGGGTCACTCTAACCATCATATTAATAAAAGGGAGGTTAAATCCTCCTGCATGCTCCTACTCGCGGCATGCTGGGAGTAGATGCATGTCGCCTAAACAAATTTAAAACTACTAGTGACAAGGCAGATAGTGCTGCCCAGTCACTAGTGCAATAAGGGGGGACCTGGCACAGGTCCCCCCGTTTCCCCATAGTGGGAAACCCAAATAACTAAAGTGGGGGGTGACATAGCGCGAGTCACAGGTGGGGCTAATAATATAAACAGGGGACCTAGTGCCCACCCCCAGGCCCCCACCCAAGACCGTCAGGTGGGGGCCTTAATTAAATAAATAATGGGGGGAACCAAATGTCCCCCTAAGGCCCCCACCCATGACTGTTGGGTGGGGACCTTAATTAAATAACTAATGGGGAGACCTAATGTCTCCCCTGGTCTCCAGCCATCAGCGACGGATGGGGACCCAAAATAAATAAATAATGGTGGGGCCCTAATGTACCCCCAGGTCCCCAGCCATGAGTGGCAGGTTGGGACCCTAATTAATTAGAGGGGGGTGTCTACACAGGTGTGCCTTAGGCTGGCCACAATAAAAGGCCACTCTAAAATACAGTTGCAAGAAAAAGTATGTGAACCCTTTGGAATGATATGGATTTCTGCACAAATTGGACATAAAATGTGATCTGATCATCATCTAAATCACAACAATAGACAATCACAGTCTGCTTAAACTAATAACACACAAAGAATGAAATGTTGCCGTGTTTTTATTGAACACACCATGTAAACATTCACAGTGCAGGTGGAAAAAGTATGTGAACCCTTGGATTTAATAACTGGTTGAACCTCCTTTGGCAGCAATAACTTCAACCAAACGTTTCCTGTAGTTGCAGATCAGACGTGCACAACGGTCAGGAGTAATTCTTGACCATTCCTCTTTACAGAACTGTTTCAGTTCAGCAATATTCTTGGAATGTCTGGTGTGAATCGCTTTCTTGAGGTCATGCCACAGCATCTCAATCGGGTTGAGGTCAGGACTCTGACTGGGCAACTTCAGAAGGCGTATTTTCTTCTGTTTAAACCATTCTGTTGTTGATTTACTTCTATGCTTTGGGTCATTGTCCTGTTGCAACACCCATCTTCTGTTGAGCTTCAGCTGGTAGACAGATGGCCTTAAGTTCTCCTGCAAAATGTCTTGATAAACTTGGGAATTCATTTTTCCTTCGATCATAGCAATCCGTCCAGGCCCTGACGTAGCAAAGCAGCACCAAACCGTGATACCCCCACCACCATACTTCACAGTTGGGATGAGGTTTTGATGTTGGTGTGCTGTGCCTTTTTTTCGCCCCACATAGTGTTGTGTGTTTCTTCCAAACAACTCAACTTTGGTTTCATCTGTCCACAGAATATTTTGCCAGTACTGCTGTGGAACATCCAGGTGCTCTTGTGCAAACTGTAAATGTGCAGCAATGTTTTGTTTGGACAGCAGTGGCTTCCTCTGTGGTATCCTCCCATGAAATCCATTCTTGTTTAGTGTTTTACGTATTGTAGATTCGCTAACAGGGATGTTAGCATTTGCCAGTGACTTTTGTAAGTCTTTAGCTGACACTCTAGGATTCTTCTTCACCTCATTGAGCAGTCTGCGCTGTGCTCTTGCAGTCATCTTTACAGGACGGCCACTCCTAGGGAGAGTAGCAGCAGTGCTGAACTTTCTCCATTTATAGACAATTTGTCTTACCGTGGACTGATGAACAGCAAGGCTTTTGGAGATACTTTTATAACTTTTTCCAGCTTTATGCAAGTTAACAATTCTTAATCGTAGGTCTTCTGAGAGCTCTTTTGTGCGATGCATCATTCACATCAGGCAATGCTTCTTGTGAAAAGCAAACCCAGAACTGGTGTGTGCTTTTTATAGGGCAGCTGTAACCAACACCTCCAATCTCATCTCATTGATTGGACTCCAGTTGGCTGACATCTCACTCCAATTAGCTCTTGGAGATGTCATTAGTCTAGGGGTTCACATACTTTTTCCACCTGCATTGTGAATGTTTACATGGTGTGTTCAATAAAAACATGGCAACATTTTATTCTTTGTGTGTTATTAGTTTAAGCAGACTGTGATTGTCTATTGTTGGGACTTGGATGATAATCAGATCAAATTTTATGACCAATTTGTGCAGAAATCCATATCATTCCAAAGGGTTCACATACTTTTTCTTGCAACTGTAGAATCCATGTGAAAAAAAAAATATTTTCTTTTTAAACTGCAAGAAATTAATATACAATTAAAAACAGCTAAGGAATCATGTTTATAGGGACGGGGGATGAGCAAAGATTTTTATCGTTCATGCAGAAGTCAGAAACAGGTACTCAGTATACAGTGCCCACAGGAGACAGCTGCCTGGGATACAGTTTCCATGTGGCCACAAAAGAAACTACCGAGGATACAGGGACTGCTGGAGGCAGTGATGGGGGACATAATTAGTTTGAGCAGAAATGTAAATGCTAAGGAAATAGAAACACAGGCCTGTCTTAAATACTGAGAGCAAACAAAAATAAATCCAGGCACTCTGTCTGTGTATAGCTGCCAGCAAATTGAGAAGAGAAAGCTCTTGATGAGGATCTTAATTATTATTATTTATATAGCGACAACAAATTCTGCAGCGCTTTACAGTGGGTGGACGAACAAACATGTAGTTGTAACCAAACAAGTTGGACACACAGGAAAAGAGGGGTTGAGGGCCCTGTTCAGTGAGCTTACATGCTAGAGGGAATGGGGTAAAGTAACACAAAAGGTAAGGATAGTATTAGACTAATGGCAGTTGCAAGAGAGGAATCAGTCGGGAGCTATTAACAGTTTTGATACGCTTTTAAGAAGAAGTGGGTTTTTGATGATTTTTTGAAGGAGTGGAGACTGTGTGAGCATCTAACAGTGGAGAGAAATGAGTTCCACAAGAACAGTGCAGCTCTCGAGAGGTCTTGAAGACAAGCATCAGAGGTGGGAGTACGGACAGAAGATAGACGTAAGTCTTCAGCAGAGCGTAAGGGCCCAGATAGATGTATTAGGAAGGATAGATAGGTGGGCATTATGTAGAGATTTGAAAGCAAGAACCAGAATGTTAAATTGAGCCCTATATCTTACAGGAAGCAAATGTAGGGACTGACAGAAGAGTGAGGCATGGGAGGTGCAGGTGGACAGGAAAATGAGCCTCGCCGCCGCATTCATTATGGACTGTAATGTCACAAGTTGGGAGCACGTAAGACCACTGAGAAACGAATTACAGTAGTCAAGGCGAGAAAAGACAGTGGAATGGACCAACACCTTACTCGCATCTGGCGTTAAGTAGGGTCGGATGCGCACAATGTTTTTGAGATGGAAGTGGCAAGATTTGGTGATAGACTGAACATGAGTCGCGAAGGAGAGATCGGAGTCAAAGAGAACACCTAGGCAGCGAGCCTGCGTGGTGGAGCTGATGGTAGCACCGTTGACTTGGAGGGAGACAGACACAGGAGTAGCAACAAGGGTAAAACTGGAGAACCCAGAAAGAGCCACAAGCTGAGTGGGAAACACATACATCAACTATCCAAACTGTCAGATGCTTAGATGCGTAGTACAATGATTTAGGAGATCTTTTAACAGGTTGGTCCAAGCACCAGACGCACAGTTGACTGCTTAGGAGTTAATTGAACAAAGCTACTTTCATGATTTCATGAGATGACTGCTATCAGCTTATTCAGTAGTTCCATTCATCCTGTGTGATGATTGGAACTGTGGTGGGGTGCTGATTTACTTTTCTCATAAACTCCGGTTCACTTCTTTAATTTAGAAAATCTGTATTCCTACTCTTCATCTTTTCTTGTTGACTGCTCACATGCTATCCTTGGCAAGCTTTTTTCTCTCTCCGGTATAATTCCAAAACTGGCCTCAGTTCCCATGATAACGCAAAAGACACCCCCACCCAAACATGCCATTACCTATTATCTATGTACCATTTCATAGTAAGGCCTGGTGTTGCATTGTTGAATGAATGGACTATCTGTTCCAGTTATCAGTAGTTAACATATTAACATATCAGTATAAGCCCTAGGGCTACATTTTACCTTACTGTATTATAACTAAAATTATTTGGAAAGAATATTGCTGCTATAAGCCTACTCCCTGGAGCTTTGCTCTTTCTGTATCAGATCTGTTCAACTTGTGCATGTGGTTTGAGCATGTCACACAGCTACAAGGACTGAACCTCGTGCCCCTTAACAAATTCAGATATTGCTGCACATTGTTTACAAAACTATCAACTGGACTGTGTATATTTAGCAGTTCCATTCATCTGGTATGATGAATAGAACTGTGTCTGGGGGATAAACAATTCATAATATATTATAAGGTACGATTAGACCTCATAGACCAGAATGAGAGGTTCATATTTGGTGGAGAGACTTACTGGTGGGGGAGGGGTCAGACAGCTTTTTTGTCACATACCGTGTTATTTCATGTATAAGATGCCCCCATGTATAAGGCAACCCTAATTTGTTTTGGAGCCAAAATTAAGAAATACATATTTTAAACATCTATGGCACAGAAATACAGCTCCCCAAGGTCCAGCCGCTGTTTCCCTGGGCTGCTGTTGGCGGCAACGATGTCCTCTGCCAGCGGTACCCTACAGGGTCTCACCCTGCAGCGTCTATCTGTAGTCCGGAGCCGTGAGGTCTTGGTGTGGTCCAGAGTGATGCAAGGAAGTATGCGGTTGTGCAAGACCTCCCATACAATCGATCAAATTCACAGAAAAGCAACTCCTCTGCTTCAAGTATGTCAGTTCGCAGAGGTGTACAACACAGCCTATGCCCACAGGAACCTGGCAGTAGCGAATCAGTCAGCTGAGTGTTCTGTCAGCGAGTAGCCAAGTTTTGTGCCCAAATTGCGTAAGTACTGTAAGTATTTGGCTTAATAATTAGATTTTTGTAGGAGCTCCAGCCACATGCAACTAGCCAAGTGATTTTGGTTTTTTTAACCCCTGCAGTGACATTCCGTGTATAAGAGGACCCTCAATATTAAGCTGAAAAAAATTAGAAAATACAAAAAAAACATAGTCTCATACATGGAAGAATATGGTACATTAGATATGATTTTTTGTGCCATCTCTTTTGTAGGATCACTTTTTAAAATTTGATAGGTATTTTCATCCTCCAATTGTCTATGTATTTCCATTACATAATCTTTGTAGTTCTGTATCACTATGCCACCACCTTTGTCCGCAGGCCGTACAAAGCATTAGTTTCACTTTAGCATTATGCACTTGGCACTTTGTTGTTTAAAGAATGGCTTTTTTTGCACAGATTGAATTTATGAATATTTTGATGATTAGGCTTGAATAGCCTTTGATACTATAGAACATTATGAGCACTTTATTTTTTTAGACATAGTGTAATATGAACTTTGAGATGTACTTGAGAGGAGAGGTTGCAGATTACATACTAGTTTGCATCTTATTAGGCTTTATTAGTTTCTAATTCAATAGAACATACACTGAGCACTTGGTTTTGGGACATAAAGTAAAGTGTTCACTGGGGTTAATCACAGTTAGAACGATTTGCCAATTAGGTTTTTTATACCTTTAGTTTTGTGTATGTAGTGACAGTGGCTAGCAGATATACTGGAAGCCTGAGTACGATCGCATAGAGAAGTATATGGTAATGTAACAGGCTTTATACATTGACACAATGTATTCCTTTAGCACGGCGTGTGAGATCCAGCTCCCGTACGAGGGGCGGATGCAGAGAGGTAGCAGTTTGTCCAATACGCATGCGCCCGACGTCTCCATGGAGATGGAGGATGCGGGCATTCAGGAAGTAACCTGAGCGAGCATAATTAGGCGATTTGTGTATTAATTGCTATGACAACCGGTCCACAGTTTGAACATATTGGCGTAATCAGAGGGACATATGCTCCTTGAGATATCCACCCACTTGTTCGGAAGTGAGGATGGCCGGCCCCCTGCACATCTGAACTGTGAGATTACTTGATTACTTTCCTTATTTAAGCAATGTTGATTTTTAAACATGTTTGTATTCTGTCCTGATGAAAGTTCCCTAGCGGAACTGAAACGTTGACCGTTGGAATAAAGAAAAGTTTTTGCTTTTTGAATAAATTCTGGGAATGCTGGTTCCTTTTGGCTGTATCTATTTAGTGCAATCGAGCACCTGGTCTATTAAAATATAAGTTGGAGTGCAAGGTCTTTTTTTCTTTTTATATATATATATATATATATATATTGTGATAAAGTGAAGGCAGATAGGCCTTTTAACCCCAGGGGGAGTATGTGTAGTTTGTGTTTTGCACAACACAACGCATTGTTTAGTTATGGGCCCCTGGGGTGGAGCACTTGGAGAGAAGGGTGGGCCAATGCTCCACTCCACAGTTTAGTGGTTTTCTGTGGAGACATAGATCCAGGCCAGGGTTTTTTGGACCGTCTCCAACCCACTGCTCAGGTGCAGTTAATGAGCTATTGCAGTGGTAATAAACCCCTCCCGGCTAGGCAGGAAAAGGAGAGGGATTGCTGGCTTCCTCCCAGGAAGCAGGTAGGAGAGAGGCTGATCTCTCCAGATAGAGTCAAAGAGACTAGGCACTGGGAGTGCGGAAAGGAAAGCAGTCAGGGCAAGGCTGGCTTGGAGCACTGGGAGTGCAGAAAGGAAAGCAGTCAGGGCAAAGCTGGCTTGGAGCACTGGGAGTGCAGAAAGGAAAGCAACAGGTTAGATAGCAGAGTGTTGCTATCTAAAAGGTTGGTGCAATATTGTTTAGTGTAACCCTGAGAGATAGGGAAACTTATGTCAGTTAGTGCTCAGACGAGCTAGGTTTTTGTTTATAGGGTTTTTTGTTACATTTATGTTTTCATTTAACTGCTGTGTCCTGTGTGAACTTACAAATAAAGTGCCTGGAGTATATGAATTACAAGGACTGTGCATGTTTTTGCCCTAGAGGACCGTGCTACCTGCTGACAAGGATCACAATATATATATATATATATTTATTTGTGGTCAGAAAAATAAGCCGTACTAACGTTGATACCTTAGAATTAATTAAAGTTGGTTGTCGTGTGCCGAAACCGATGTTCGGGCGGGCCTGTAAATAAAGAAGGCCCACCAAGAAGTAATTGAATAGAGGGAGTGGTGGGTGGTGTAACGGCTACCCAGGTTGTAAGGGGGTATCAGGCGTTGGAGACGTCCTTTTCCTGGCAAGCTGCTGTATAGTAATGGAGTTACTTATTCCCATCCACGAAATCCAAGAGTAGAGTCATGCATAGCTGTCAAAAGGAGCAAGGTATTTGTGCAGCAAATCCTCTTCCAAGAACGAGACGAGGTTACGTTTTGAAGGGTCAAGCAGAACTGGGTTTTATTGACAAGGATTCTCCTTTTATGCAATTCTGCCCTTGGGAGGGCGACACCTACATAATTAGTACAGTAACCAATAACAAACATGGTACATCCCACACGTCTCCTCCCCTCAGATAAACAGTTAACATAATTAACACACACACATTTTTATACTTGGGGTACACCCTTAAATCCAGTATCCCCAGATAGCCCTCATCTATGGGAACAACATATTAAAAAATCATCCCATTCGGTTAAAGTGTTTGGGAGTTATGGGACTTCAAAGTTTTGACCGACCGCATAGGCACACTAGCCGAAAATAGTTCCATAAGTTTTGGCCTTGCGGTCGGTCCTCGTTCGTGCGGTGGAAAGGCACGAAAATCCTGCCATCCGTGCATATCTTGCTGGTCGCTGAAATCCCTGTATGTAGTATATCCTATCTACCGAACGGCAGGGCGTTCGGTAGTTTCAGCACAAATTTACGGTGTTATGGAGGTTTCAGCGGTGTTCGCCTACTCAATTGTCCGATTTTAGTTCCAGACACTCGACGGCAAATCACCGCTGTTCGTGTGTTAAGATGGCCCCCGAACACGTGCAAAAGTCCCGAAATGGCAGCCACCTAGGATCTGAAACAAAGGATTCGTGCATTTCTCATACAAATGGTATATGCCGGTCTGGGAGGTAACATACCACATAATTGAATAGCAGGGTGGTCCGGTGTTCGGTAGTTTGTATTCGTATTTGTGCCTGCTGAGTCCCTACCGCATGGATCGCACAAATAGACGAATACTGGCAACAAAAGTCCCAAACTGTGCTACAATAATCCACATAAACCAGGTAAGCATATTCCCTTGTATCCATAGTCTCGGTTAGAGATAAATATTTCCAGGCTAAAGGTAAAGTTCTGTTACAGGTGGGGTGACCAGTGGACATCAGCCCAGTATGGAGGTAGGTTTGAGCTTATATGGGCCGGTCAATCCCCTCCCACAACTCCAGGCTCCACCTTCCCATTTGTGGTCAGGGAAATAAGCCGTATTAACGTTGATACCTTATAATTAACTAAAGTCGGTTGTGGTGTGCTGAAACCGATGTTCAGGTGGGCCTGTAAATAAAGAGGGCAAAAAGGATATTTAATCATGCCACTTTAGTGTGGCAATCCCAGCATTTCAATGCCAACCCTGCACACAAATACACTACTTTACTCCAATACTATCACTGCACACAAATACACCCAACACCAGCGCTTCACACACATACACTCCTGTGTTCCAATAATACTGCACACAAATACACCACTGCATGTGTACCTGTGTGTCTGTCTTCCTGTGTGTATCTCAGTGTTTGTGTAAGTGTGCATCTGTGTGTATGTGGCAATGCATACATCCCAGCATTCCAATGCCAACACTGCACATAGTGAGTCCAAGCAAATGCTTGCCCAGGGTCCAACCAATATTAAAGATGGCCTTGCAGCGGCCTGTATGGTTACTGTCCATACAATCTTCTTTACAGCAATATCATGAGCTATGTTTAACAGTACATCTATAATACAGCTATAGTCAATAGTACAGCAAATGCAAAAGCACAAATTTGCAAACTTCCATGCATAAATATCTATATAAACAGCTATATCAATAGGTTTACACAATCTTAAATCAGTCATTAACAAATGTTACATTCAGTTATTCAGACTGAGGCTGTGTCTAATTTTATATAACATGTTTTATGTTACAGATTTACATTGCAGTCAGGATGATACAGGGGTTTGATCGGCTCAAACAGTAGTTGTAGGTAAATTACACCACAATGACAAATTTAAGATCAAAGTAGTTGAATTAGAAAGATTCTGTAGCCCTGTTATCATACCTGTTCAGCTAATTTGTCCTACAAATTTTCAAGGAAAATATTGCGTTTGAAATTAAGTTAGCAGGAATTATGTGCATATGATTGGCTATATGATTATTGAAAAATAATTCCCCTACTTAAATTCCTACATATTGCGAGAACTTTACAGCCTGCTGATTTACTCCTACATGTCTAATCCTTATCCTAGGATATGTGCTTCTACTATTTCTGTCTAATTGTACATGACTTCCATTCAGAGTCTATTTGACCTTGAACTGACAATGAATATACTTCTTAGTTTTAACATGTATCCCAACAACAACACTATATAGATAGATGATATACAGAAAATTGTTTTAAATTGTATTATATATATTTATTTTTATTCTTTTTCTTTTATTCTTTTTCTATAAATCAAAAATTAAATTGATTTATGTTTAATTTAATCAATTTACAAAGGTTTTAATAAAACAACATTGTTAATGGCTCTATTAACATGATTATCATATTAGATTACACACATTAATTAATTGAGCACGTTTTTGCAACAGCACATTTCGTATGAGTAATGTAACTAAGTTACCTTGTTGAGAGCTTCCACCACTGCAACACACTCCTCTTTGACTTTCAGGGAATTCACACTCTCTTCATTGGCTACCTTAATATTCGGCAGATGCATTACTGGTATCTTCTCTTGAGAACTCTCCAATGCTAAAAACTCTGAAAACTTCAAAACTACATGTTGCCCTTGAGTTTTAAGATCCCGAAGAGATGACTTTATGCCAGGGGCAAAACTCTAGTGATAGCATTACAATCTGATTTTACATTGTGCCAGCTGAATCATGAGGGGCATGATTCTCCATTGTAATAAAGTAAATATTTACAGTAGAATGAAATAAACTATGAATAGGTAGAAAAGATATCATCAGAAGCAGCTCTTTTGAATCCAGATGAGCACAATGGCTAAAGCAAAGAGAGCTGAGACATAATCCCATGGATTAGACAAAGAGGTCACAATTTAAGGTGAAGTGACAGGGCCCTCTTAATCTTATTAGCCCAAAGCTTTTAGCTGAACAACGGTTATGTTTCCATCAAATGTCCAGGTTCTAACTCACAATATTCTCTATGACAGTCTTACAAGATTGTATAAAGCAATAGGGAATCAGTATCGGTGTATTCAGAGTCTTGGTGTAGTAAATCCTAGGGCATTTAAAGCAGCTCTGTCTTTTTTTTACATCAAGTCAACTCCAGAGTTATTTTTATGTAATCTAAATATAGAACATTATCATTAGTTGTTTTTTTTTTTTATATCATAAATTAAGAATTTGACTTTTGAGTGGTAGTAAGATAATAACTTTTTCCCAAAAAATATTATGCAAAATATGTGTTTCCGCTACTGAAACAATGTTGTATAATGACATAAAAATATCAGATGTAGTTGATTCAAGATATGCCTAACCAATCAGATTCTTCTTCAGTGTGAATGTTTTGAATGTGGATTTTTTTTGTGTTTTTTAAATAAATTTCTATTGTGAAAGAGTGAAGGGTTACATTATATCTGGAACAAAGACATCTCCAAACTGGCAAAAAGTGAGAGAGAACAATACAAAACCAGTTGTGACTATCAAGGAGGGCTTTTTAATTTGTTTTTATTTCATATTGTTTGGTATATTACAGTAAATTTTGTTTTTGATTTTTTTACCCTGCATTTATTTTATCATCTTAAAGAAGCCTCTCAAGGGACCATCACAACATCTACCTCTACTCATATATATCTTCGGTGGGGATCATTCCACCCAAGCTGATATAAAATTGTGAGCAACTTTCATACTTTTCCACACACGTTTATTGGTTTGAAACAGTGAGCACTAGATTCTGTTTTTATTCTTTCATATGCCTCTCACACTGTGAACACTCAAAGAAATTCCAGTTTCATCCCTGAGTTGGGATTATACCACTCATAGCCTTATCTAAGACGAAGACAACAAAAAAGGAAGAGTAGAGAGAACATAAATCAAAGTAATAATGATGAAAAATGCCAAGGGATCTTTAATCTGTCAGGCAAACCTCTAACTAACATACAATTAAAAGTATTAAATAAAGGGTTAAAATATGCCCCAACTAAAAATTTTAACCTATTTTTAGCATTTATTGATATAAACAAATTTGTGCAAAATGCCACCTTAAAAATGTTTTATGTAAGTAGAGAAAATAACAGTAATAGACAAAGGTATGATGAAAACGTAATTCATACACTTAAAGTCTTTTAAGGAACAAAATTTTACCCATCCAGTTTTAAATCTAGTGCACTTGATATGTTTGAGAAAAAAGTATGTAAAGAAATAAGATTTTTAAACAATGAAAAATCTAAAGGAGACAAATTTAAAATCACTAAAAAAAAAAAGACACTATTAGAGAACTACAGAATGATGATGATATATTCATAAAACCAGCAGACAAGGAGGGTCTTGTAATTTTATCAAAAGCAATGTATGAAAAAGAAGCATACAAACAATTAAATGACCCTATAACATATATAAAAAAAAAGGAGACCCTACCTCAAGAATTGCAATATTATTGACCAAATTTCTAGATAAAGGGGAAAATTACAATTTATAATACTCTAATGAATAGAATTATCTTAATATTAAACATCCAAAAATACCGGTAATATATTTCTTACCAAAGTTACATAAGAATGCCGAAAACCCTCCTGGATGACCTATAGTTTCAGGCATTGGCTCCATCCTTTCAAATCTATCAGAGTATATTGATATTATGCTTCAACCATATGTTAAGACAACCAAGTCATACTTAAAAGACACCATCGACCTTCAGAACAAATGATCACATATCAATTGGAAAGATGGCTACACATTAATTACGTGTGATGTACAATCCTTGTACACCATAAGCCCACATAACAAAGGATGTGAAGCCGTTAGAAATGTCTTAAAAAGAGATGGGTCTATGGCCAAAAATCTAATAGATTTCATTGTTAAAGGAAATTATATGATTTTTAAAAAGATTTATTTTTGGATTTATGACTCTTTATCAGCAGGTCAATGGCACAGCAATGGCTACCAGGTTTGCACCCAGCTATGCAAATCTCTTGAAGGAATGGGAAGAAAGAACTGTGTGGAGGAAGCATGGCTGGGTGGAGAGCCTGGTGGCCTACTATAGATATATTGATGATTTGTTTTTAATATGGAATGGCCCAATACCCAACGCCCAGGATTTCATTAATTTTGTAAACAACAATGACGATGGAATAATATTAACAGCTGATTTTAGTGCTACTAATGTAACTTTTTTAGACTTAGATATATACATTAAAAATAATGAAATCCACACTAAAACAAAAGTGCATACAAATATTTTTATAGGTATGGACAGTTGCCATTATGATAGTTGGCTCAAGAGCATACCAAGGAGCCAACTACTAAGATTCAGAAGGAACTGTTCAGAGTTGGATATATTCAACAACCAAGCAAATGAAATCAAAGATACATTTTTAGAAAAGGGAAATAATACTAGCAGTTTAGATAAAATAATTGAAGAAACCCGACACACACACAGAGAAAATTTAATTTCAAGTACAAAACAAAAAACTAAAACGATAAAAGATTTTAAATTACCTATAGTTTTGGACTACAACAACAAAAATAAACAACTAAAGAAAATAATAAAAACTAATTGGCACCTCCTAAAAGAAGACAAACTTCTAAAGGATATTATCCCTGAGCGCACAAAAATAGTCTTCAGAGGAGCCCCAAATCTAAAAATGCAATTAACTAAGAATTATACAAAAAATACGAATCCGGTAAATATCAATACCTTTTTTAACAGCAAACTAGGCTTCTAAAGGTGTAATAGCTATAAGGCATGGAAAAACTATAAAAATGGACAAGTGTACATCAAGTTTTAAATCAAATAGAACCAATAAAATGTATAATATAAGGAACACCATAACTTGTAATAGTAAAATGTAATATATCTATTGGAGTGCCCTAGTGGCCTTGCGAAGGTCCAAGACTGGGGGCGCCTGGAGCATAGGCAGCTTACGTCAAAGTATGGCGAACATGGGATGAGGTTGTGGGGCATACTAGGGGTCAGCATTCCAGGAAGAGGTGGTTGGATTCGTTGCTGTGGTTTTTGTGCCATTTGTTTACAGGTCGGGTGTCTCTATTGGGGGTTGATCGGACCATGGCGGCACTGGCGTTCCTTTTCAAGTTGAATGGATGGGAAGACCTGACAAAACATTTTGTCATTAGGCAGGCGCTTAAAGGTTTTTGGAAGGGCAAATCTTCGGGGGATAGTAGGCACCTGATATCCTTTAAGGCCCTGGAACAGTTGGTACCCAGTATTGATGTTAATATCAACAGCTCCACCACTACCACCACCAATGCCACCACCATCAGCGTCCCCAGTATCATCACTATCAACATTTCCATTAGCATTAATGCAATAAGTGCTGGAGTACCAGATAGTGTTGCAAGAGCTTCCACTGCCTCCATGCAAATCCACCTGCATCTTCAACAGAGACAAGGCAAATGGTTAAGGGTACTGTTTTGTGCATACTAAGCAAAGTTCTGGGTTGATTTGAGGGCCTCCAAGAAGGCTGCCTTACAAAGTGCAAATCGTGAGGCAAGGAAGTCAGTAGGGGGCGAGTGAAGAAACAACAAGACTATAAAAACTTGCCCAGCCCAGCAGAGCACCCAGAGCTCAATCAGCTGTTCCACTGCCCTTTGCAACAGGTAGCCTTCTGGAAGACTATTTCCATGCCCACCCCAAGCTCATTTCCTCATTATAGATAGTCTACCACACAACTTTCATTCTCCTGAAATGACAGGTGCAACTGACCAACACATCCTTCCAATCTTAACCCTATAGAATACATACCCTCTCTCCCTACAAATAACTATATATCACACACCAATATTATATACTTGGATTTAATTTTTATTTTTTGTTTTTCACTATTTGTGTTTCGTTTTCATCTACACATCTCATACCACTAACATGAATCCAAATATGACCATACTGTTATTCTTAATAACCCTTTTCTCACTTCAATTTTGTTTACATCACTACCGCCATAAGCACACACCTTGAACTGGAAAACAAATGATCATACACCATGGCCTGCTCTGTTGCTGTAACTTTTCTGCTGAGTGCTGGTGGAGTGTTATAAAAGAATTGCCCTCCTACCCCCACCTCACAAAATTGTAAAGTATCCCATTCACTATATGGCCAAACAAAAATTATATCCAAATTCCTATTCCTTATGTTACTTGCCCTTGCAAATGAAGTGGAGTCTAACCCTGGTCCCCCAGCTAATTCTAGTCCTAATCTCCCCACTCAAAAAGGCCTCTCTTTTGTGCACTGCAACATCCGTAGCTTACTCCCTAAACTGGATGCACTGCAAGCCTGGTGTTCCCATTACAAACCAAAAATCATTGTGCTCTCGGAATCATGGTTAACGACTAAAATACCAGACTCTGCCATTGAAATACATGGTTATTCATGTTTTAGAAATGACAAGCAAAGAGAGAAGGAGGCATTGTTACTTATGTCAACAAGTCCAAACTATAACTCACCTTCTTTCTTTGATTTCCTATCTGGCACAATTTAGATCCCTTTCACTAAAACTATCATTGTTGCTGGAATCTACCGCCGACCTAGCTCTACTAAGTGAAACTGTAGCTCAAAACCAAAAAAGTGAACTGTTGGTTTTTGGAGATTTTAATAATCCTAAAAATTACAAATCATGTACGCTAAGACTTTGCAGCTAACACAATTAATTTCCTCCCCAACTCACATTAATATTAAAAGCCAGAACCATACCTTGCTCGATTGGATTCTCTCCAGTGGTCCTGACAGAATCCAGGAGGCAGGCGTTCTCCCTAACAGTTTCAGTGACCACTGTCTAGTGTACTGCATACGCAAAATAAAAGCCACTAAATCCCCTCCC